GCACTAAATTTTGACGGTTTGACAACCTCCATTCGTCTTCATTGAATATGCTTCATTGTTAGCGTGATTGAATTAACATTAATAGTAGAGATAATGCTAATAATCTATTAAAGAAAATGTTTAAGTTAAAAAGAAAGTAGAATAAATATACAAGAATAAAGCATCATAGAAGTAAAGACAAAATGAAGAATGGTAAAAGTCAAAGTGAAATTAAATGATGACGAATATGAAAACAATAAAGTGACATATAAATACTACAATAAAGCATAAAGAAGTAGGCAGAATAAGAATAAAAGCAAGATACATAGACTTTTGGCGGTAACTCCCTTCCATAGTCGTGTCTTTTTATTGACCTTTATTATACAGAAAGGTGAAGATAAAGGTCTAAATGATACTGGAGGTTTACTGGGCAGCAAAATACAAATCAAAAACTCCTTTTTTATCTTTTCTGCATATCTGAAATGACCCTTATTTAAACGCATCATTCATTTGCAAAATGTAATGAATTTTATAAAACAAGAGAGCCATAGGGCACACGTTCACCAGAGCAAATTGGTTGGGATATAAAAGCAGATATTACTTCAGTATTGAGAAGTTTACATGGGTGTTAAACTATCAGCTATCTGATATTGCTTCCATACAAGAATTGCCTTTGCTGTTCTTGAGCAAATGATTTTGTTTACCTATTTATTCATTTAACCCCCTCCTCCCTCACCTTGTGGCCCAGCCTGAAGGTGAACCCTCATTTGAACTATAACTTTGTACTACCTGATGATGCCTCTATAACAATATGATCAAACATGTTTTTTCTGTTCTTGGTAAAAAATATTTTACTAATATATTTAGGCAAACCTTTTATCCTCAATTGCGGCCAATCCTACATAACCCCTAAACCCCTACTTCCAATTCATGACTTGAAAAATAACTTAAATCAACACTACGTGGGGATACTTAGATAAAGATATGACCAATCACGACTTTGTGGCTTTTAAAAGGTAGAGTTTATTAATAAAATTCTGTTGTATTCATTCATATGTAAAACTTCAATTGTCCATTTTGGCCCCGTCCTACCACTGAGGGTCATAATTTGAACAAACTTGAATCTACCGGTACACTTTATATCTGAAGAGAATGTCACAAAAGTTTCACCTTTCCTGACCCAGTGGTTCTTGAAAAGAAGATTTTCAAAGATTTTTCCTAAAATATAATTCTATGTAAATCTTTGATTTTTAAGGCCTGGCCTTACCTCCGGGGTCATGATTTGATCAAAATTAAAATTACACTACCTGAGAATGCTTCCATGTACGTTCATTCTTACTGGCACAGTGGTTTTGGAGTAGATTTTCTTATTCCTTATTAAACCGGTGATCGGCCATCGTGGCCCCGCCCTACCACCGGGGGTCTTGATTTGAACAAATTGAATCTATAATACCTGAGGATGCTTCCACATGAGTTTCAGCTTTCCTTGCCCAATGGTTCTTTAGAGGAAGATTTTCTAAAGATACCATTATTTTTCTTTATTTATTCATGAATATCTCCCCTTTTAATGGGGGTTTGGTCTCTCATTTGAACAGACTTAAACCCAATTCACAAAGGATAACTTGTGGCAAGAGTGGTTGAAATTGACTCAGTGGTTCTTTAGCAGAAGATGAATATGTGAAAAGTTTACGACAACAACGACAACAACAACGACAACGATAGACAACGAACAAATTTTGATTTTGATTTGTTAAGATATACATGTACAAAGCGTGTGATGTAATGAGTTTTGTAAAAGTAATTTCTTCGGTACCTTTATCCTTAGTACCAGTAACTGAACGCGGCAGCTTAGCTGGGGAAGTAGATTCTATTTCTCTGTCTTCCCCTCCGTTATCTTGCGTATTGTTTTCAGTTTCTTTCTGCATACTGTTCCCAATTTGCTTTTGTGTTGTGTTGTCAGGATGATCTTGCGTATTTTTGTCACTTTGCTCACCTGTCTTGTTTGCAATCTTTTCTTGAGGATTTTGATCAATCTGCTCAGTTGTATTAACTATCTCTTTGAAATGTAGAGAAATTCAACATCATATGAAATGTATATTTCAAGGTAAATCAAATTAATTTGAAAAGAAAATAATGTCAGCAATATTGTCACAAAATAAATCACCTTGGGTTTCTGTCGTCTCTCCTGGTAACAACGTCTCATGTTCAACTTCAAAAAGAAGAGAAGAAATGTAAAAAGCTCACAAAATGTCTTAAAGATTACAGCAAGGAGGCTCGTCCTAATTTATACGGGGAATATTTACTATGACGTCACACATAATATAAGGTCTTCAAAATTCCACTAATGATTTTATTTGCTTCTTTGATCATGAACTGCTAGATAGCTGTAGACTACTTAAAGTATCCGATGCATACTGGCCTCGGATTGAATGGAATTGAATGCATAATAGATATGTATATAGACTTCAATGCAATTTTTAATAATTAATTTCTGCTTAGGTAATTAAATTTTTGAAAATTTCTCTTGGTAAATACCTTTTCTACTCTAAAATAATATCAAGATATTTCACTAACAATTAATATTTAAGGTCAGGAAATTTGGTAATAATATGGGTCGGATACCTTTAAAAACTCACTATTTCATGCAGTTTTGTCGTTTGTTAAATCCCACACAACAACATATTAACAATTCATCGATATCTCTTGTCAATGTGACGTCAACTCGCAAAAACGACGCAGTTTGGTTACAGTGGGAGGCTGATCAAGTCACATTTTGTACAATGAAAAATGTCTTTTGTTTTTAAAATTATTATTTGCAGTTATATAAAAAGTGGTAAGTTAGAAGCAATATTTTATTGATATAATGTCACTATATTCTTCACACAACTGATACTGTCGTGTGTTTGTAGGGAGATTCATTGAAAAAGTAATAGAAGGATCCTGATAAATCGATTTATTACAAGGGCAATCCTCAATGTATCATGCCAAATTTTTATACAAAAACTCAAAAAGCATTAAGATATTTGAAAAGTTCTGCGAACCTCAAGACATCTTGCAAATAAATTGATTAAATAGTCATATCTAATTTCGTTTACCCGAAAAATATTCAACCTGTTGTTCAACAAATATAATTTTAGCAATTAAATAAGGTAATCTAAAATTTTAGCAATTAAATAAGGTAATCTATATAGGTTTGCAACACTTTTCACAAACTTTATGGTGTTTAAAAAATAATTATAGTATAAACTGAGATTTTTAACTTGGTTATGGCCTTGTAGTATTGAAATTTATACAAATTCAGCAGCACCCTCTTAACCTATTGCTACAACCCTCTCACTCAAATATCACGTGACAAGTCTGAACACAAAAAATTAATGTTCCTCAACATGTAGATTTGAGCCAAGCATATTTTTTTTTTAAATCATCCGGTTAAGGAAAAAGAAATAGTCAAACCTTATAAAAAAATACACTTTTTATCCTTAAAAATTTCAGATATTTCCATTTGTAATATTATAACTGTATGCGTGGCAAAATCATCAAATTCACAGCTTCTTTTTACTTCATTACTAAAAAGTGATAATGCAATTTACCCAGAAATTTATTTTTAAAAAAAAATACAACCAATCGGAACACCAACCATTATTTTTTATGTATGTTGTGCTGTTTAGAACATAACTGAAATTATTCACCATGTTTCTTGAATACAGTAAGTACTATGTGACAGCCAATAAGATTAGGGAGAGGTTCTCAATATGGATAATTTGTACCTGATTTCAAGTAAAATATATGTCACAGTTTAGGAAAAAATCATACATGCATGGAATAGTTTTATTTATTGATATCTTACCATCAGTATCATTGGTACTGCATGCTTTTCTTTTTAATTTCAGTGATAATGTAAATGTATAGTGAATAATCATTGACTCTCACCTCTGCGTCTATTGATCTTCTTTCCTTCATAGATATTTTTACCACCTTCTGTAAGCTCATTCTCTTTCTGATCTGGTTTAAAAAAAGTTTCTGAAATAGCACACTCTCTTTTTTCTGCAGATTCGATACCAATACCAGTCTTTATGAAGCCAGGCCTTTCTTCTACTTCCGTACTTTTATATGTCTCTTCGGCAATGAGAACTATCTCCTCTGGTTCTGTATTGATACAAATCTCAGAATTAACTTTGTCTATCTCATTTGATTTAATGTTGACAAGAGTATTTGTAAAACCTTTTTCATTTTTCACAGTTTTTAATTTAGAAATACTAGTACCAGGTACATTTAATTTTATTTATTTTTTCCCAATTTCAGTTTTTTGATTAGACCCTTTCTAAATCCACTGTATCTAAAAAAAAATAATATTTTTATTGATTTCAAGAAAGAACACGTGCGATTCCCGATATGCAAAAGTATCCCACGTTTCCCAATATCATTGATGTCCCTGGTTTAGTATACTAACTAGACACCAATTGCTGATAATTTTTGGTTTCGTTGTGAAATAAAATTGTAAATTCACATTTTAAAGATATAGACCAATAGTAGATTTAATTCATATAATGCCTCTCAGTGTGAATTTCAATAGTCACTGACGTCAAATTCAAAGACAGCTGCATGAGATTTACATGCATATTTGTCCTAGCTTCTGACCCACCGGTATATCGATGTGCCTTATTAACTTTCAGGTAGAATTATCAAGAAAATAACTCCATTACATGTAACTATCAAAGAGTTATCACACATAAATGATGTAGAAATTACAATGTTCTATCATTATGTCTATAAATTAAAAAAAATGTGCAATGTCGACTGTATGCACTTTACTTTCCAGTATCATTAAAAATTAAGCCGTCAATTTTTATATTGTTTTGTTTAAATCTCACATTTGATTCTAAAATTAAATGTTAGATTTTTTATAAAATCATTACCATCAGTAAGTTCTTTGCAGTGCAATTATATTTTAAACCATAAATTTCATATTGTTTTGTTTACATGTAATTTTAACATTAAAATCAGATGTTAGTTAAATTCATTAGCATCAGTAAGTTCTGTGTGGTGTGACAGCAACGAACTTTTACAATCTGTTTCTGTTGTTATATCTTCCTTTTTTGTATTGTATGTTGATCTCATCAACTGATTATAATGTGTTAAGAAAATAAATTACTTGTTTACTTTGATATTATTTGATATAAGATTAAGGTAGACTTCACATATTTGAACTTAAATATTATTCCTCATGAGAGTACAAAACTAATTGTTAAGACGTTACAATGAAACTTACCATACAGCTTTAATATCGTTACTTTTCAATTATATTTTTTATTAGATTCAGTATAATTAAATAAATAAGAATTTATATCGTTACAAAGAATAAAAATTCTCAAATCGGAAAACATTATAGCTTTCAAGCGCTTTAAGTAATGCCTAGATCACATTTAAGCCGATGGTCGGGCGACCAAATTTTTCAAGTCTTGTCGGCTGAAAGAACATGATCGGCCGAGCAGAGTATCGGGCGACAAGGAGCAGACACATTGTTTCTAAGAACACCGGTGGCCTCGACCAAATCACCCCAAAAATTCTTTAGAAATCAGAAATATTTTTTTTCATATATCTATATTCAGATAGGTGACTCGAGTAATGTTCGCAAGGCAAAGTGGCGGATTCTTATAAAATATTGTGACTCAATGTTGAAAACGTTTGAAACATTTTGTATAGAACTGCATAAAAACGACAAATGATGCACATCTAAGCAGCAAAGAATACTTAAGATTTCTTTATATCTTACGCATTAACCATTTATGTTATATCCGTAAAAAAAAGAACCCAAAGAACCAATTTTTGCTTCAAAACCTGTCAGCCGTTAGTTGTTTTTGGAAATGTGACTGGGGTTTAACAGATGTTTTAAGTAAGATTGTTTGTATTTACAAGCTAAAAATTTCATGAACGTCTACATACGTGAGGAGTTGTTCTTTTGTCTTTCTGTTTTCGTTTCCAAAGGACACCAGCCAATATCAAAATGATGAAAAACATAACAGCAACCATATTCCAAACAATAACCTCTGTAGAATCGTTGGAGTCTTGTGGAAAGGTGCCTTCAGATACGTTGTAAGATGTTGTGTTGTAAATACTTTGAATTGTCGATAACCCTAGATTAGATGCTTCTGTAGTGTCCACGGTACTGATGCTCTCTGTGCTATACAAATGAAAATGTAAGTTATGCGGATTAAAAATCGCATAACAAATGTTACAATTTAAACTCTGTTGACAAAATCACATCCGATAAATCAGCCTCTGCGCAACACAATGGATTCAAACTCACGATGAAAGAATACAATTTTGATCACTTCTTTATAGGTATTCACATGTATATTGATAAATTATGTTTCTTTGTAGATATACTGAATAACTTAAATAGAAACCTTTCATCATCAAATTTACAATTAAAAAATTAGAGTCAATAGGTATGAATAATACTAAATGGTTTTCCTCTGTGTGCATTGGTCATAGACCCTTACACTGACATTTCACATACGGTATGGCACAGGTAAACCGGTCCCTCACTTAGTTGAAGTCAATATGATTCTTGATGAAACTTTCTTTAGACCTCATTGAAATAATATGAATCTGAATTTTATGAATGTCTTATACTGATAATACAAAATGGTTTTAACACTGTTTATTTGTCTGTGTGTCGGCCTGTTTGTTTGTCTCTTTATCCACTTAAACTTTAGCGTTGCAAATAACTTGACTTTTTGAGCTGGACTTTAGTGTTTTACCAAATAAAAAATAATACCAATATTTTACATTGGCCCTTACTTTTGAATAATTGGAGCCAGGACATTCAAATTATTTAATAAATGTGTCAAGACCTCACAGTGTGTTTAGATATTTCTTACTTTCTGACCCTCGCCTTGGAGTTTGACACACTTATAAAACCATTAACTTTCGTCAAACTTATTAACAGTTACTTAGTATCATTAGGTCTTTAATATTTCACAGTTTTAATCATTGTGACTAGTGCTTTCTCTTCATGCCAATAATTTTGATCTCTTTTTCTTGGCCTTTAAAAATTAACTTGCATCTGCAAAATGCATCTCGTAATATCAAAGCCAGTTGTTATTGAAGATGTGGATACGGAAAGTTTGGACCATAACATTTCATTCATTTTTACTGCCAGACTTTTCTGATGAACTTTTTTGGCTTTTATGCAATGCAATATAACAATTTTAGTTAAACCAACATGAATATTTCATGCCATTAGGGTATATAGATGTAATAATCTGGAAATAAGTCAATATCCGTAAGTCAAGATTCCAAGACTTGTTTACAAATTGTAGCCTTTTATTTGAATATATCACTTTCTCGTAATTATGATAATACGATGCTTATTTACATGTATTTGGTGTATTTCATGTTTTGTTTTTGTTAGGTAAGGAGGATTAGATTCTGAATAATATCACATTGAAATTACGGCTTACCAGAGATGTATCCATTATTTTCTTTTTGGTTAATTTGAAAAGTATTTGCAATGCTTACCCCTTTTGTAGAAGGGGATTTTTTTTAAAGATTATTCTTTATAGAAATTTCCCTATTTGGTAAGGAAAGTTACATTGCCTTATTTGAGTTGGCCTAGAAAATTGTTAGACTTTTTATATGATATGTGGCCGATATTTACAGTTTATCACTATTTTTACCTTCTTTTCATCAGGCATTTACTTACGCATTTGGACACGAGGGTTCAGCAAAATAACATCGGTCTTGTGTATTAATGTTCTGTTGGCAGCCTAATCTCAAATACAAGAAAAGCAATAGCAAGAACATAAAACATTGACACTTGTTTAAATTCAATGGGATATTTCTAATTAACTAGGGTCTCACATAAGTATATCTTGTTGCTCCTATATTCTATGTCTGGACAGCCTGATGAAAATTGAAGACATCCGGTGCGATGAGTTGTCCTTCTGTAGTCCTCAAACAGTTGCCTTAACATGTATCGATATCGGTTATTTATCATCATTGAAATAAAATCATTATGTGGGAGGAGCAGAATGTAAGACATGGAGTATCAGTTAAGATTTAGACGTCATATAATTAGTTGATTCATTCAGGTGTACATATCTCTTTCTTCCCCTTTCTTTCTCTCATTTAATAAGGAATTTATCAGAGGTCATGTTGTAATGTCTTTAATAGTGATCTAAATCTTAATAAATATACAGTAAAATAAAAATTAATGAAAAGTTTTAAGCTCACTTACCCCTTTCTATTATCCCCATGATGCCATTGTAACATAATTCTATGAGTCCTGTTTTGTCGATGTTAGGGACACAGATGTACTGATCGTTTCCATACTGGTCCTGTCCACAACCCAACCTCCTGGAGGATTCCAGTACCTCTGTTGTGTTCTGGGGACATGATTCCACAAAGTTTTCCATCACTTTAAAAAAAAACATACACATTGTTTGCTTTTTGTTAAACCGCCTCATCCGAATAGTTCTTTTGTTTGTAAAAAATAACCCATAAAAATTGCATAAAGCACTTAACTCATTTAAAACGAAAGTAATTAAATACATCCTCAGTGTAAAACTCTAAAATATAGATAGTCATTATGAATAATGCAATATACATTTACCTCATGAAGTTATCAAATTATTTATTTTTCTGCTGTCCCAAATAAAACAAGAAATGTGTTCCTGTTTCTTCCATTGCATTTCCACACCCTATATTAGCGAGTTTAAAAGCTAAGCAGGCATGGCTACCCATGCATACTATTATATAGCACAGTTAGTGTCATGCATATATTTACTGGTACACTAAAAATAACTTTAAAAGGGGTAAAGAAAACAGTAGAAATTTGAGATGCGCTTTTAATGCAATAGATAAGGCAGATGTTGTTTACATGTCAAAATAACTACCGGTATACACATATAACTCACTGGATTCCTTTAAAAAAACGTTTTATACTGGAGCTTATCTATCTAGAACTCATATATAACACATTTTAATATTATCAATTTACAATCTTACAAATGAGTTTATTAAATTTTGGCCAGGTCAGCTGTCTTTTTTAAACCATGGTTTATTAGACTAACTATACTGTATTGTTTTAAAATTTTAGGTAACCCAAAGGCTGTCTTTGTTACATTAAATAAATTATTACTAACGTCTCTTGCCGTTTTAAAAATGGTTTTACTACAATAATCTGTTTGACTATGTTTAGACACTACAGGAGTTCTATAATGAGATTTACTTTTACATTCTTCAGCTGAATTTTACATTTCAGTGAATGGAGTAAGTCTGTGTTTAAATTTTACAAGGCAGTCATCGATTGTAAAAGTAAAACTTCACAAATATGTACACACTCAGCCGATTGACGAGATGTAGTATCCCCAACACATTGTCCGCCTCAATTCATTTCCATCTTCTCGTATTTCAGTTCTACGTTTGAATGTATTGTGTTTATTTGAACTAGAGAGTAGTGTGTTGATGTCAAGGTCACTTCACGTTTCATATTTTCTTTGATTTCCACACCTGTTTCTCTTCCATATATTTTAGAATGACTTAAAGATATATGCTAGACATCTTGTACAATTACTTATGTATAAACATATATTAGATATATTTAGCCTATTTCAGTTTACTTACATTATTAATTTCACTACAGATTAAAAAACCCTACTCAAAATAAACCATATTAACTTGTATTACCTTTTTATTTCATAGAAGCCCAAAACAACAGCATATAATGAGAATATGTTTTCAGTTTGTGATATTTCATGTTCACAAAGTCCATTCTTGCTACTGATAAGGTTTTAACTGTGTTTGGTTGAAACGGATAAGGGAGTGCAGGTATTGAATTCGAAACAGATGTCTTTGCAGAAAAACCAGGAATGCAGCTTATTAGTGAAATATTTTAATCACAAAGGTCCATATATCCTTCCAAATACCTATGCATAATTTATCCAGTCAGCATAGAATTCCTATATGACAAAATATTCTTTGAAAAAGTGACTAATCTTTCTTTTTACCTAACCTCATTAGTTTTATATGATGAAAGATACGCTGTGAAAAAGGGTATCATGTCCTGGATCCGGTTGTATCAATATTAAATGAATGATTAAAGCTTCATTAAACTGATTATTTTTAATGTGTCATTAAATTCCGTTGTATCAATGGTGCACGAATCGGTGCATTAAAGCTTAGTTAAATTCATCAACTTTAATGAAGGTAAGGGGGCTTCATTAAGTGGTCATTAAGTATGGAGACCTGCTTTATGTTTTGCCCGCTTGGCAGAAGGAGAAGAATCAGTGCCTTTTGTGAGCCTTTTTCACTGACATTACGGATGAGGAAATTGGAAATTATATTGATAACTGTTTAAAAAAGTACAGAAATTAATGGACGGTCTGTCGAACTTTCAAAACTTCACATACCTTGTCAACAAAATTATAGGTATAAAGATGCTTCTTTTAATCAAATCACAATAGAAATCCCAACTGCAATCCCAGTGAATTCAAAATAACTTCGTGTACATGTAAACACTATAAGTGACGTCATTTCTTTCGTCATAATTTATGAGGTGGTTAACTAGGTCAACAGTAAGAGAATAAACACAGCTCCTATTTTAAGGTAGGCCTATACCGGTATCAATAAAATCCTGCATATGAATAAAACATCAGAGATCGTATTCAATATATATACTGTAATAGCAAGCCCCCCCCCCCCCCCCCCTTTCCCACACACAACTTTCAACTTACCATCACGAAATATTTGTACCTGTAGATTGTCATTTTTTGCATGTTAATATTTTCTTACATGTAAATTAATTTTTTAAAAAATTACTCATTTTTGGAAAATACTGCCACAAGCTATCACATGTAATAAAGAATAAAAGAAAAACCGCTTCAGAGATCGGTTGATTTTTTTATTCATTGCTAAAGTCATAAATTGGAAGTGAAAGGAAGTTGGCCACTCGGTTGATTTAAAAAAAAAACTATTTTATGAATTAGAGCTGATCTATTATAAGTATTTTGTAAACATAGGAAACGCACATAGATACGCCCCCGGAAGTATTAATGCATTGCATTGTGGGATGTTCCCCTAATGTTAATGAATCTTTAATGAATTCTTAAATATTTAATGATTCATTAAGTAATAAGACTCTAATAAAGGTTTTGTACAACACACTTTAATGACTTTAATTATTAACTAATGTATCATTAAGATTTAATGAATTATTAGGCTTAATAATTCATTAAATTTAATCAGCCGTTGATAAAACCGGGTCCTGGTACATGTATTTTCACTCAAAATGACCAGCACGTTTGTCATCTGGGTGTTTTTAAGATGGTTATGTATATTTCCATGTAGAAAAAAACCTAAAATTTTCTATTAGAATAAATTGCTATAAATTGAAAGCACAAGCTTGTGATTATGTCAGACTGTCAAATTATTCTCTTCAGTTAAATCTGACCTTGAAGATTTAGAAAAATATTTCATTACGGAACGAACTTTCTTAACACCCCTTATTTGCCTATGAGATATTATATAGGCCTTTCAACTAATTTTTCGTGTTGCACATATCGGTAAAAAAAGTATTTCATAGATAGATTTATGGGTAAATGAAATTATCAAAGAAGATAATAACTTATGCATACCTTGGTTTAAGTTATCAAAAAGTTTAATTATTTGAAATTGACTTGTACAACACTATATCAGACAAGTAACTTAGGTGTGATAAATGACCAACTAAGTGCCGATTTTTTAGTTATAAATTTATGTAAATGCCTATACACTGTTTCACATATGATATTGTTATGTACACAAAAGGGTTCTTTCCATTGTTTTGTACACAAAAGTGTTTACCTAAAGACGAGAATGTCTTTACTCTACCTGAAATAACAGGGTCAAGTGAATGGGGAACAGACTATATTCAATATTTTAAATCTTTTTGACAATTGTTATGATGAAGAAAATATAATGTCATGTTTTTGAGTGCGTATTTTTGCGCTTCCTATATAAATATATATATTTTTACAAGTAGAATGCAACAATAGATTCCTATATTTGTTACGTAGCACGAAGAAGAACGACTAGGTATAAAAAAATTAAACAGGTTAGAACTGAGAAGAAGATGTGCAGTTCACTTTTTATTTTCATTTTATATAAAACTCAAACAATGTTACAGTTACAAAGTTTATTATATACAAAACACATATTGGATTATGGGGACTGACAACCGACTTACTGCATTAACGAAATTGATCTATCTCTAGGACAATTGGAGATAGACAAAGTATAAATGGTAACACATAAGCAGCAAATAAGTAAAAAGAATGCACGACTGTTAAAATATATATACAAATGTAGTAAACAAACATACATATAGAAAATACACACATTAACCCCCAGGAGAAAACTTGGGGATTATTGGTTAAAATATGGAAAATTGGAGATAGACAAAGTATAAATGGTAACACATAAGCAGCAAATAAGTAAAAAGAATGCACGACTGTTAAAATATATATACAAATGTAGTAAACAAACATACATATAGAAAATACACACATTAACCCCCAGGAGAAAACTTGGGGATTATTGGTTAAAATATGGAAAAATTTTAAAGAATTTGTAATATTTGTACACCAAAACCCACACCTGTAATATTTGTACACCAAAACAGCCATACGTTAGCATGACTAGCATAGAAGAATTTCATGCGTAAGCATGATTAGATGTCATACGTCAGCATGACTGGCATGAAAGAATACATGCGTAAGCATGATTAGATGTCATACGTCAGCATGACTAGCAAAAAGAATGACATGCGTAAGCATGATTGAATGTCATACGTCAGCATGACTAGCATAAGAATGACATGCGTAAGCATGAATGAAAGTCATACGTCAGCATGACTAGCTTAAGAAATACATGCGTAAGCATGATTGACTGTCATACGTAAGCATGACTAGCATAAGAATGACATGCGTAAGCATGATTGAATGTCATACGTCAGCATGACTAACATAAAAATTCAGATATAAGCGTAAGCATGATTGATTGTCATACGTCGGCATGACTTGCTTGCATTAAATACATAAAGAAGAATAGTGATACACGTCATTATGATTATTGTAAATGCATTTTGCATTGTAGAATACTAGAATTGTAATAACTAGCGTGTCTAGCAGAAAAGAAATGCATGCATTAGCATGATTGGAAACATGTCAGCATGACTAGTATGAAATAAATGTTTAGAATTAGGAACGTTGATAATCATGCAGCAGAATGACTAACATGAAAACAATTACTTGTAAATGATTGGCATTGGTGATATACATTTAGCATGAGAAATGTAAGATTGACATAACATATGCAAGCAGAATAACATAATTGTTTAAAGATTACACATCTTTACACAGAAATTAATGAATATGTAAAACAAAACTACTGCATAACAATAATACTAATAAAAATAATTATTTACAAATGACAATCCCCAAAGGTAATTTCACAAGGCGTGTGGTGGGGAGGATGGTGGTAACAAATTTCCACAATGGCTACGAACGCAAAGATGGTGAAACTGAAAACGAGGCTGGGTTATAAATAAACAACAGATGAGGCCCAGATAAGGCATATCTCAATACATGTAACACAGAATACCCATTGAGATGATTTAAATACATGAACGAAATGAATATGATGACAATTACTTATTTATATAAACTAAGATTATAAAAATAATCTTTCATTTATATAAAACTCAAACAATGTTACAGTTACAAAGTTTATTATATACAAAACACATATTGGATTATGGGGACTGACAACCGACTTACAATGCATTAACGAAATTGATCTATCTCTAGGACAATTGGAGATAGACAAAGTATAAATGGTAACACATAAGCAGCAAATAAGTAAAAAGAATGCACGACTGTTAAAATATATATACAAATGTAGTAAACAAACATACATATAGAAAATACACACATTAACCCCCAGGAGAAAACTTGGGGATTATTGGTTAAAATATGGAAAAATTTTAAAGAATTTGTAATATTTGTACACCAAAACAGCCAAATACAACTGTAAGCAGTTGTAGCCCCAAGTTTCCAATGTAAGTAAAAATATATAATAATTAAACAAGAAATAGAAAAACATATATACATTTAAGAACATATGCAACATGTACATCTTAAGACACACCTTGTGAAATTACAATACATGTACTACTGAATAAAGCACATTGATTTAGTAAAAGAACAAATGAAACAGACAGGTGCAGCTGTTTACTGATTTCTACAAAACAGAAGAGGCTATTTGTTGTTGTGCATTTTGAATAACTGAAGGAGATGTGTGAATGTAAGTAGTGTAGCAATTGGAAGACCATCTACCTAATGTTTTAATTAAGTGATCTTCAATGCGTGCCTCTTGTGCGGTTGTAGCTGCTCCGATTCTGAAGGAATGACCATTATAGAGATCAGAGTTTAGGCCTAATTGAGATAAAATGACTTTAAGTGTGTCAATGAAAATTGCTCTAGTTAGAATGGAACCTTCCTTGGTAACAAAGAAAGGCAAAGGTTGTGACTTGAAAACTTCTGATCTTAGTTTCAGGTATTTAACAACAGCATTCACTGGACAGACATCTGTTTGTGTCTTAAATAATTTAATCTGAACTCCATTTCTGAATGGATCTGTCTTTGATTTTCTTAATGTAAGTGCGACAAATGAGTCGTGACAAATTACATCTTGGATTGAAACATAATCATCATAATGAGAATCACTGAGGACAGTGAATTCCCCACATCGTAGAAACCCAAAAAATGCGACTGTACAAGCTGCTTCAAACATATATGATGTAAACATATCAAAAATTCCTGACCTGAGTAATTGACACATTTTTGTTAAAATGGACATGGTGATAGGAAGCCTACTGCGTTTAGGAACAGCATACATGCTTTGTTTTTTCTTTACACCAGTTAAAACTGATTGCAAACAAATTAAATTTTGACCAGCATTATTTTGAAAAGGATTACATCCTTTCAATCTTAAATAAAAGTATCTGATACCACTTAAGTACAATTTGATCGTTGAATAAGCTAATCTTAAATGATCGTCACAAAAAGCAACAAAATATATTAACAATTGTTCCGACATTGGTGGTAAGTCACTAACGGAACCATGCAGTCCTCTCAGCAAGGTGAATTTGATGTAACAGTCCAGTCCAACTTTATATTGATTGCGCGTTCTAATGGAAATGGAATGGTCCCAGAGATTTTCTACAACACTGTCCAAATCACTTCCATTAAAGGAGGACACGGCGTACACAGAAGATCTGCTTCTGGTGCCAGCTTCTTGAAACGATCCATCTGCAAACGAGATAAACTATCAGCAATATTGTTTTTAACACCAGGTACATATGTACTGTAAATAGCGAAATTATTCTGAGCTGCACACATGGTTAATCGTCTCATTAGTTTCATAATTACAGGTTCCTTTGAGCGACCTTTGGTGATAATTTGCACGGTTGCTTGATTGTCACAATTAAAAACGATTCTTTTTCCACTCCATTGTTTACCCCATAAAATACTAGCAACAACTATGGGATACAGTTCAAGAAAGGCCATAGATAATGTATCATTGACAATGCGAGGTAGGTCGACTGGCCATCTATCACAGAACCAATGTCCTTCGAAGTAGCCACCATATCCGATTGTAGAAGAGGCATCAGTAAATAACTGAATAGAGTCTGACGTTACTTTGCACGCATCATAAAACATGGATATACCATTCCAGTTTGATAAAAATTCCAGCCACATGTATAAATCTGCCTTACACTCGTTATTTAGATGTATGTGGTAATAACCCTCTTTGACCGAGGACATAAGTTTGTAGAGGTAGGAGACAAATGACCGGCCGGGTAATATTACTCTGGTAGCAAAGTTTAAATGACCGAGTAATTGTTCTAGTTCCTTCCGTGTACAACTTTTTCTTGACAGAATGTTACTAATGCATAACGTAATCCTCTCAATTATATCGAGAGGTAATCTGGCTTGCATGTTGATAGTGTCTAGAATAATTCCCAGATATTCTAATTCACAAGTTGGTCCTATAGTTTTTTTGGGTGACAATGGCAAATTAAGTCTGTGAAAAATTGTACACAATAATGCCATAGTTCTTTCACCACAAGACTCTGGGTTATCGACTGTTAAAAAGTCATCTAATAAGTGTAGAATATTTTGAATTCCATAATTATTTTTCGCAATCCAACAAACAGCTGATGAAAGATTGTCAAATAATTTTGGGCTTGATCTACAACCAAATGGCAATCGCACATAGTGGTAATAATGGTTTCTCCATTTAAAGCAAAACAGGTGCCACTGGTTAGGACTAATAGGAATTTGCTTAAAAGCGTCAGTCATATCTGTTTTGCACAAAAGACTGCCTTTTCCAAATTTTTGAATAATTTGAATTGCATCGTCTATTTTAACGTATGACAAAGAACATTGTTCCTTGTTTATAAGATCATTCACACTTGGTTCTGAACTGTTATGAGGTGAAGACAAATCAAAGATTAATCGTTTTTTCCCAGAGTATTTGTGAGTTGCTATTCCTAACGGGCTGACTCTGTAAGAATTAAACGGAGGCAGTGAAAAAGGTCCTTGAACATAACCTTTGTCAAGTTCAGTTTGTAAAAGTTCATCAACTATGCTTGGGTTTTGTCGCGCAGACAAAGAATTTTTGCATTCAAAAGTTTGTAAATTGTTGTCAACAACCAATGTATCGAATCCTTGTTCTAAACTGGAACACAAGTAATTCACAAAACTTTTGTCTGGGTATGAAGAAAGTTCAAATCTAAGTCTGTCAACGTTTATACTTGTCAGTGGTTCCTTTAGTCATTTTGTTGTGTTTGGTTTGGATTGACTGCTAGTAGCTTTTTGTTTAGATTCATTCATGGATTTAGGTGTTTGAGGACATGAAAATCTGGGATGTCCATTTGCTTTGCAAGCTGTACAAGTGTGAGCGTATCTACAATAAGGTTTGCTGCAACCTTTTGTGGAGTTGTAATTATTACAAATTTGTTCACCATCGTGGAACAAAATTTCTCGGCCATGAATATCTTTCTGTTGACGAAACACTTTAAACCCTGAATGAGGACGAGTATTTTGTCTTTTTGCGTTTCTATGTGGGCACATACCTGAGGAGTGAATGTTAGAGCCACAAACATCACACGACTTGACAGAAGACCCAGCACAAATCAAAGTTCTTAGTTCAAAATCTCCTTTAGCCCAGTCAATTTTAATGTTATGCTGTAGAAGCATAGCTGCGCATTTACTCGAGAACATTTGATGGTACTCGTAAAATTTGTCAGGCCATACATTAGCAGTTTCTATAATGTGTGAGAGATAACCATCTAACTCATTAGACCTGTTGGGAAAGGCAGAACACATGATTTTTTTGTACCTTCCAAATGCCACAATGAACTCATCTAAAGATAGACTGCGTGTAAGGCGTTCGTCATTTTCTTTAATTTTCTTTTGGGAAGGGGTTGTGTAGTTGGGGATTAATAACATGTTGAGATTCACGTCCTTACCTGCCAGAATATCAGCACGTAGTTCTGGCGAAACCATGTCTACATCAGATATATTCACGGCAGGAGTCCCAGCGTTCGTTGACATGGCTGTTTGAAGACTGTATTTAGCTTCATTGGTCTTGTTTGACTGAGTTAATGATGTTATGGCCTGCTGACACAATTGCAAAGTACTAAGAATAACGGATTCTGACATCGCAGATGTGGTAACTGTTGATGTAGCCATTGTAGGAAGCGTTGAGCTGGGCGGAAGTGAAGTAAAAGACGAACTTCTACCGCCTGGAATTCCTGGTTCCGGATAGACTTCGATGTTTGAAGCGCGTGCACCCTCGGCTAAATTAGCAGAAGGAGTGGGTGCCCCTGAATATAGCACAGAGTTACGCATGGTAGAAATATCATGGTTATCCACAGTTTGCATATCATTGGTAATGTTAGCTTGATTGCGATCACCATCTGCAGCTGCTTGCTGACCCTGAACGGATAAAACATTGTCTACATAAATCCTTTTCAGAATGCTGTGACTTAGGTTCACATTAATGTTTATTCCATTATCTGACAGCTTTTTCTTCAGTTCGGCGACCGTCCAGTTACTGGGATTGTCACTATTTGACATGGTAAAGTTTGTTTGTTTCCTTGTTCGACGAACCGTAGACATAACTTTTAGGTCAAAAGTTAAAGTTCAATAAGTCACAAAACAACGCGTGAAAACATAAAATCGTTTCACAGGAAGACAGAACTGATGTCACACTAACTGAAAAATCATGATTTAGCAATAATTCCCTTAGTAAATGTAAGGATGGTGGTTGATTAAAAATATAACAAATTTCCACAATGGCTACGAACGCAAAGATGGTGAAACTGAAAACGAGGCTGGGTTATAAATAAACAACAGATGAGGCCCAGATAAGGCATATCTCAATACATGTAACACAGAATACCCATTGAGATGATTTAAATACATGAACGAAATGAATATGATGACAAGTACTTATTTATATAAACTAAGATTATAAAAACTGTACCTTAAAAATATAATTTTATGACATAACTTTCGTATCTTTTCGGGAAATACTTGAAGTCCCTTAAATCAATAGTCATATCACAAACATTATTTAAATGCCACAATTCTTCAGGATTTGAGTACCGTAGTGGTTAGCGTGCTAGTCTCAATAGAGATTGCAACTCTGGATTTTTATTGCCCGTGTTCGAACCCAATGGATACCACATTATTGTTTCTTATATAAAAGAATACATTTTATCGAAAAAATTTCCTCAAGACTTTTGTCCACTCAAGCAATAATTAGATTCTTTATTCTAACACCGCAGACGTTGATTTTATGTATGAGGTATAAAAATAATTTAAATAGATATAAAGATGATGATAATTAATGTCTCCAAGCCATAATCTAAAATACATGTACACTTAATTAAGATTAATTGCTATCAACATTAAATCGTGATTTTCATCATAAGCTAAAACAGACAATTTTACAGTTGCATAATCAGCCACCCCAAAAATACGCGTATCATGATTTGAATGAAATTCACGAGACAATTAAGCCATATTGTAAACACAAGCAATTATTTTAATCACCTTCTCAAGAAAATTGACAGGATTGAAAAGTGGAAAATAAGAGAGAAAAACTGCCTATTTCGTATGTAGATATCCGAATTTTATCGCTAACGAAGACACTTTTACGCATGAGTTTGCAGACACACCACTTATTTACTTGCATATGTTATATTTAAGCTTGCATGTATAAAATACCTGAAGTCATATCAAAAATATTTTGCGATTGTAATTTTTGCGGATTTTTTCTATCCGCAAAATTTCGCAAAAACTGGACAACCGCAGAAAATACCCGTTATACGGTATATCCGAAGCTACTGGGCTTTCTGCACGCTACCTTCACCCATCTCTTTTTAACTCTTTTGCAAATTACTTTAAACTTTATCATATTTTATGAGATGTAACTATGGCAGTAAATATGATATTATTTTACGCAAAATAATTTAAATAATATTTATCATTGAACAAATCTTGCAAATCACTGCGCTTAAATTATTGTGTAACCTTTTTGCACTAAAAAGTAACGTATTTGTGTTATTAAAAAAACTAAAAAAGGAAAGAAATCAAGCTTTTTACGACTCAAGTGCTGATCAGTCAAAAGTATCGAGTACTTTGAAATAATGAAAGAAGACGTTGGGGTCAGTGATGTTAATTTTGAAATATTGGTCAAAATGTGTTATTTTCAGGCGAAAGATGATGTAAATTTTATCTTGACTTATTTGACAAATCTTTTTGGCAAAGTTTGTAGAAGAAAGGTTTAAAACTTGTTCTAAGGATATAAATTAGACCTATGTTAAATATTCCAATCAATATCATAATATATAAAATTAATATTGCATCTAGTTGAGTGTAACATTGGAAATTTTCACCTCAAGAAAACCATTGTCAACCGAGGCGCAGCCGATGTTGACAATGGTTTTCGAGGGGTGAAAATTTTTAATGCTTCACTCAACTTAATGCTATATTTATTATATTATACTGAATGTTTTATACAAATACATATAACAGTGAACCGTGCGCGAATAAATTCTGCGCAGTCACGTATTTTTTGGAACATCACCCGTCGTCAAACAATGTTGACTGTTTCTACGCTGGAGGGCATAGAGAGAGAGAGAGAGAGAGAGGTGGGGTGAGGAAGGATGTATGTGTCAGTTTCAGGCTGAAGAATCTAGAGTGGGTTTCACAGTGACAATGGCGTACATGTAATTCATTGGTCGTACTTAAAGCAACTTATAACTGTAGTTTTTTTGCATGAGGTGAAAAAAATAAGATCAGTAGAAGAAATGAGTACTCGGGGTACCTTCTTAAAATTACTTAGTGTGGTACTGTTCTGTAGAATTTTAATATTCACTGGTCTTTCTCGCAACCCTGGAAAACATATTCGAGATTTATTTTATTTTCTTTGGAAGACTAGAATGGTAGCTAAGCTGAAAAGGTAGGGAATTCATTATTACTTTAATTATAGTTCGTCCAAAGTTACTTACTGTATGTTACGTTACTTTTTGTACATTTTCTACTGGAAAAACTGCATTTCGACAACACAACAGGAAACAACATCAATATTTTTATCTTATAAAAATGAAATAAACATGGTGCAGTATATCTTTAAGCAGAAATTCGAAGACTTGACCATGCGTATTTATATGAAAAGTGTAAGGTAGATTAACCTTGAATCTAAACAACATTGTAATTTCTTTAACACATTGACCACTAGTTAATTTAAAGTTGAACACGACTCGTAAATAGGCATACGCCATTTTCGATATCATTATCTACGATACATCAACACTACGGTATACTCGTTACATTCGTTACACCTGACTGCTTTATTGTCGCGGATATCGTCGTGTAATGGCGACACGTGTTAGTGCTGGTTATCTTGCATTACCTTTGTTTACATTTTTTGCCGTTATATGTATCTGTGTTGTTTGTATACTGCATTGAACTGTACAACAATAATTGTAAATTTATTTGGTATCTTACTTTTCTGCAGTAGACCAAGTATTATGTAATTATTCTTGCTACTTAGTCCTGTATACTATACGTCCGTTTTCACCGATGTCGACTGATTTCACTGAACAGAGACCATGTTTTGCCTCTATATACGGGTTTGCAGAGTAGCGAGAACCGGTAACAAAAATGGCGGACCTATGCCTTTTACGAATCATGTTCAGCTTTAACTTGCATCAGATGATTTTAACTGAGCAGTTGAATGCACATTCCAATTAATTTATAGACGTGATGTGTACTCTTTCGAACTAAGCTTTACGAATCAGTACAGCTATAATGTTAAATACAGGAATTTCTAGAAATCTGTATCTAAAATAGATGTATTTACAAAGAAATTCATGGAATTATGGTCCTTCCTTTTTGAACTACATGTATTTGAAAATAAAATTAATTTTAATTACTATGCATGAATATTTGTTTTGAGATTAAAAAAAATGACTTTGAGTTTCATGATTTAATTAACGACCAGGTAGACTTGGAAATTACCTTAAAACCTTAGAAATAAGACGGATTTGATAATAATCCTTGTATATGAACATAGATGAGACAATAATAACATCTTTTTTACTCTTCTTCAAGGATGAAGAGTGGCCAATGTGAGAGGTAATACTATGGGGTTTAGAAATAAATATCACTTAAAATAATCCAATCGGTAAGAGTAATGCCGGGGGACAGATAAATACTCGACCAATTTTTGCTGACTGTACAAAAATTTACAAGGTTGTTAACTTTATTATGTTACCCAAACGGAGTTTGTGAACATATTGTTTTTACTCTGTTTCTTATTTTATTATTGTATTATAATTATTCTTTTTTCTTCTTATTTCTTCTCCGGTACTTTTTTGTGCGAAGTGTTCTCAGACACTGTTGACCAAACTATGTTAAAACCTTTTTAGGGTTAATGGGTGTGTATTGTAGGTGTGCAGAACGAATGTCATTTTGCGCGCATACGCCTGCACGTGCGGGTGCGGGAAGTGAGTGATGTGACTGATATACTTAATATGGCCATAACTTTTACATTTTTTGATGAAATCCTCTAAAACTCTTTACATAAAGATATATTAATAGTGTTAATATCAACATACTCTCATATTAGCACGAACTCACGCGCGTGCACGTGAGCTTCGCTCTGATTGGCTGAAATAAAAATATCAATATCTCTTTTTTTTTGACGAAATCCTTTGAAATTTTAAACATAGTCAAACATTAGAATACCCTGCAATATGATATACAAAAAATTTCCAGAAATCACGCACATGCACGTGTGCTGCAATCTGATTGGCTGAAACTTTAAATGGCTGCATCAACTTTGTTTTTTGACGAAATGCTTTGAAATTTAAAACATTGTTATATACTAGGATATCCAGCAATATAATGTACAAAAAAAATCAAGAAATCACACGCATGCACGTGTGCTGCAATCTGATTGGCTTAAACTTGAAATGGCTATAACTCCCTTGTTTTTCAACCAAACAGGATGGGATTTAGAACATAGATAAATATTCAGGACTCCTATAAAGAGGTATGGTCATCATGCACGTGCACGCATGTGCGTGCATTTGGAAAGAGTGAAATTAAACATACATTGAATGAGTGATTTTTAATATTTTTGGACTGAATGCTTTAATATATATCATATTAAAATATGATTATAGATAGTGTAGACAAGATGATATGGTCATAACGCGCAGGCATTCAAATGCACACGGGTGCAATGCTAAAATTTGCATATAATAAGTATCCTTCTGGGAAAACATTGCTAAAGTAAAAAATGTGCAGAATTTGTCGTATTTAATGAAGCTCAAAGGAAATATGGCACCAAAAGGGAGTTGGCGAGCGTATGCGGAACATCTGTAACGGTTCCCGTTACAATAAGCACTAGTTATTATTAATTTTCTGCATTATTTCGTTATATTTGAAGTCAATCATTAAACTTGTAATGAAGATCAATTCATCCCATAATTAAAAACAAATCTATTTCATATCCTCATATGATATATAACTACAAGTATCCATAGTTTATCTTAGTATTTCAAGAGCACCTTGGATAAAAAAAAGCAACAATAGCGAAATGCATCAATATAATAAAAAACCTTATAGCACAAGTTGATGAGTTGATTTTACAGACAGTTTAGAGAAAAGTTACAAATTGAGTTTATCTTATTTCCTGTTTGACTTCTCATCAAAATTGAACATCAAGATACGTATCATTATTTCCATTAGCCGTTGCAACTGTTGAACATTCAGTCATTACATCATCGTATGAGGACGATGAATTACTAGTATTTTCAATACGTCCATCAATTACGTTTTCATTCACATGATTTTGTCTGAATAAAAAGTTCTATGTAAGAATGTCGTTGTCTGTCATTGCTGTTCACTATATCTACTTTTGA